TGTTGTGTTGACATGTTTGAGTATAGAGGCCCATGTTTCGTCAGAGATTGTCATGTTTAAGTCTTCTTCCCACAGTGTCTTGAGCTTGGATGAAGAGGTATGTGTCAAATTTAACATTTTATTGTAAAGCAAGGAAATCAGCCCTCTATTGGTTGGATTGAGTTGTAGGATAGTTTCTAGTAGTGTAGGCTCTGGTGGAGGGCTTGAGCCTGAAGTCTGGGAACAAATAAAGTGCCTGACTTGCAAGTATCTGAAAAAGTGTGATGGTGGAAGAATATATTTATTAGCAAGTTGTTCAAATGATGCTAGTTTGTTGGCTATGAATAGGTCCTTGAAGCAAGTTATTCCACTTCTGTGCCACTCCGCAAACCCACCATCCTGGGTAGAAGGTTTAAAGAGATGGTTAGATGCAATGGGGCTGAGAAGGGAGAAGTCACAAAGTTTAAAATATTTCCTAAACTGGCCCCATATTTTTAATGAGTGCACCACTACAGGGTTGGGAATGAAGTTGAATGAAGAGGATGAGAGTGGAGAACAAAGTGCAGCTGGTAAGGATATACTGTTGTCACTATGCAATTCCATAGTGACCCAGTCAGGACAACCACTCCGATTATGGTAAAAATACCAAAACACCAAACATCGTATGTTAGCAGCCCAATAATAAAAACGAAAGTTGGGAAGTGCAAACCCACCCTCAATTTTAGATTTTTGAAGATGCATCTTATTAAGCCTTGGGCGTTTACCCTGCCATAGATAAGATGAGATGACAGAGTCCAGCTTATTGAAAAAAGTGTTGGGAATGAAAATGGGTATGGCCTGGAAAAGGTATAGAAATTTGGGTAGAATGGTCATTTTAATTGAATTGATACGTCCTACCAGAGACATAGAGAGTGGTGTCCAGTGGGTAAGGGACCGCTTCACTTGGTTCAGCAATGCACTCACATTTTCTGTGAAAAGGTTTTTATGTTTTTTTGTCACTGTGATTCCCAAATATGTAATTTTTGTCCTTTCAACTCTGAAGGGCAAGCAGGTGAAGTCTAACATACTGGCTTTGCTACTTAGCGGGAAGAGCTCACTTTTATTAAGGTTCAGTTTATACCCTGAAATCTGACCAAATTGACTAAGCAGATTCAATGCAGATGGTAGTGAGGCTAAGGGCTTAGAAATAAAGAGCAGGAGATCATCTGCATAGAGCGAGACCTTATGTTCTGTATTGTTTCTCCAAATGCCGTGTACCTCTTTGCAACTGCGGAACGCAATGGCAAGGGGTTCTATGGCCAGATCAAAAAGCAGGGGGCTGAGAGGACATCCCTGGCGTGTGCCTCTGTGAAGTTTGAAAGGTTTTGACAATTGGAGGTTAGTTCGTATTGTAGCAGATGGTTGAGAATAGAGTAATTTAATCCATGAAGTAAATTTCGCTCCAAAGCCAAATCTATCAAGGACTGCAAAGAGATAATCAAACTCAACTCGATCAAAGGCCTTTTCAGCGTCAAGCGAGACCACACATTCATCAGAGTCTGTAGAGCTGGAGTAGACTATGTTAAATAGCCTCCTTATGTTAAAATATGAATGACGACCTTTAATGAAGCCTGTCTGGTCTTTCGAAATAATTTTTGGAAGAACTATTTCTAGTCTACGGGCAAGTATCTTGGCTAATATTTTAGCGTCTGTGTTCAGTAGAGAAATGGGTCTATAGGAGGCACATTCCAACGGATCTTTTCCTTTCTTTTTAATAAGTGTAATACAGGCTTCATAGAATGATCGAGGAAGAGGTCCTTGTTCCTTGCAGTCCGTGAGGGTTGCACTAACCTGCATAGACAGTAATGAAGAGAAGTGTTTGAAAAATTCTGGCGGAAAGCCATAATGCATGTTTAAAGTGCCCAGTTCAAAGAAAAAGCATTATATAAAAGTCATTTAAATCTTAATACAGCAAAACTGTGACCTACCATTTCAACAGCAAGGAAGGTGTATTAAATGCCACTTCTACTGCTATATCTCTCAGGTTTGCAAGAAAGTATCACTGAGAATGATGGGAAGCACTGAACAGTCCTGACTTTGACTGTATATTTTATTGTGTATTTGATTATTTCATTGGTCAGCCTACCCTCAGATTCCTTTGAAAAGGAACAGGAAACAGCTGCCGAACAGGCACTCGCCCACAGCGCTCTGTCACGTCTTCGCTTCCCAAACCTTTTCCCATCAGTGCTGTACTCCCTCTTGAAGGGACAACCTTATGTTCCCAGACAAAAAAATCCTTTCGCTCCTTTGAAGTGGGCGGTGAAATTTCTGTCTGGGACAGTTGTGGGAATGTGTTTTCATAATTGTAATGCAGAGTCAGCACTGTAAACCAACTCTGTGCTATGTGAAGAATTTCAACATGAATAAATAACCTCTAAATTCATTCTCAGACATTATTCATAACATATTAGTCGGTAGGATGTAAATGGAAACCTGTGGGAAATACACAACGTCTGAAAGGGAAATGGCAATCTTTGGTCTCTAGACTGAAGAAGTCACTTGGATGAGTGACAAATTGTTTCTCCCACTGAAAACGCTATTTCCAGATGAACAGAATCAAGTCCGTTTTAAAAGCATAATTTTATACTCAGTTAAATGTGAAACTAATGATTGAGACTGTAAACTGTTTCCTGAAGGTGTTAGAAAGAATGGACGTTTAAGTCATTTTTTATCAATTTGTCCATCTTTAATATACTGTTTATTTTATTTTTAAAGCATCCACCACTTCAGAGGTCTGTCAGCTGAACATCAGCCTCCTACAATGACCATAAAATTCTGCTACACTTGTTCCCAGGTCTCTTGGGGGTCTTGGTAACTGTTCTGCGGGGTAACTGAGACAGACAGACGTAGCTACATGAGTCAGACACAGCAGACACGGATTAAGGTGCATCTATGATATGGCATTCTGCAGGCTTTGAGCAGATCGACTGAGACAAATATACAAGTGCACCTTTAGGGTGGATGTGATCATTCAATTTTGAGCGTGTTTACCTGCTCTAAACACAGGAAATTGTCTGTCTGTGTTTGTTTGTGTGTCTGTGTGTATCACAAAAACACAGTTGTGTATTTTGTTTAACCTCAGTATATATGACAGTCATCTGCTGTCAGAGTCAGATTTCAGTGGCGGTGTTGCCCATCCTGGATCTACTCCCAGCACTTATAAAGTTATCCCGTAGACTGACTTCAGTTTCCTTGATCCTGCTATGCAACCAACCTTGAAACAAGACTCCAACTTATCATGTCCCTACTGGCACTCAGTGTAAAAAGATAAAAAACTTTCATGCACAATTTCATGCCTCGCCCTGATGCTTCTCCTTTTGTTAATGGACTGATGACCCTTTTCTTCTTAGTAAATATGTGGGGAATTTAACAGGCGCTTAGCTTGTTTTCCATCTACTTCTCACGATATGCCGCTCATATTTTAGAGCACAAACCACGTGACAAACTGAATGAACACAATGGTGTTGAAGATGATTCAGCTGTGTTTTTTAATGATGTTGTACACTGTGTTCCCCAAATGAACCTGTGTATGAATTGTAAACATTCACAGAGTCCTAACTGGTCTATTTGGAAAGCAAACAGTGAAAATGGAGGCAAATCTATTGTATGACCTCTGGACCATGCACATCTGACCTGATTCACTCTTGCTTCAAACAGCCACTTAAAAGCCACTGATGGCACTAACAAAAGAAAAAAAAAAAAGAGTTGAGTACAACACGCTGGTATTCACTTACATCTAGATGCTTACAGAGATAGAAACTGTTGACGGAAATTCTATACTCATGATGTTTCTCATCCTCAGGCAAAGTGAAAATCTAGCAAGACAGGTCTATGACTATGTCTGTAAATTGCACAACATGTCCTCATTGCAGTGGGACCAACTCCACTTGTGTTATTTTCTCTCAGAGTACAAAACCATAAAACCAGTGCAACTGGTTTCTGTGCGTTCTGGAAAGTAAGTATGAGTTTTTACTATGGTGCACTAGACTTTCTTGTTTTATGTAGTGTGTGCACACTGTGGGGATACATGGTTAATAAAAGTGTCCACTATGGACAAGCCCAGGCCCAATTTCAAAAAATCTCAATTTCTTTAAAATTGAGATTAACATATCCTATTACAAAGTATCAACAACAAGACACTAAACAACAACACAGAGACTAAGAAGGCTAGAAAGACGCAAAAACTCTAGAGCCTGACTGAGGTATTCATCACATATTTAACAGTAGTGGCAAATATGTTAGGTCCAAAATGACCCATTGTGAAAAAGTATACCCCCCCCCCCTTTTTTTACAGAACATAATGCGAAATAATATTTTTAAAAAGGAAAAGATCCTTGGAGTATTTTATAACTAGCTTCATCACTCTCAGCACAATTAGCTGTGTTTGAAGTCCAAACTTTCAACACAAGCTGAAAAAGAGACTCAGCGTGACTGCAGCTTGTTGCTATGTCAGCTTATTCACATGCCGGTCATGCGTTTTGGAGATGCAGCACACAGTGTGTTAATAACACTCATCATCATTCCACCTTCAAAGTGTTAATGCTACCTTATCTTAAACCTGTCTTAATAAACATCAATGTCATATGAAAAACTAGGGTGACACTAGGGGTGGCAAGAGATCATTTCAGGATGGCACATGCCACCCCTCTAAATCCGCCCCTGGGTGGTGGAGACCTTCATCTAGAAGAAATGCTGTAAAACTTGTGTAAATACAGTTAAAAAAAATGCCCTCACTAACATCTTCTAGTGTCTCCTTAAACTGGTTGTGTTGCTTTCACGCAGAACAGTTACCCGGGGGTGGCCGTGTCCCATGATTTCTCTGTGATCTGGTCCCTGAAAGCCACGGGTGCAGTGTGGGGTTCGGGGGTGCAGCGGAGCAGTAGCAGATTTCCGACGCTAGGGGGTGTAAAAGAATAAAGGAGGACTTTATGGAGGCTCTGACGTAAGAGACGTCGTAATTTCCACGATTCTTTTATTCGTTCAGAGAGTAGAGCAGAGAAAGCACGCCGCTCTGAGTCACACAACAGACACGTCGTGGACTCCTCGTGGCTGAGGCCGGCCTGAGCATCAGAGCGACCGGCACATGAGACTGACGACAGAGGGGGCGAGACGGGAAGCTTTGTGCGGCAGACAGAAGAGGAACCAGCTCAGCCAGCGATGTCAGGGCTGAAGAAGAGAAACTCCAACTCGTCCGTGGACAGGGAGGAGGATAAGCAGGTCACTGAGAGGATGCTGTCCCCGGGTAGCGGCGGTGATAGGGGGGGCTTCGGTCAGGATGGAGGACCGGGAAGCGACCTCAGCAGCCCCGGCAACGTCACAACAGGAGACGGAGCGGAGGAAGGGGTCGCCCTGAAGAGGACCATCACGCTGTTGAACGGCGTGGCCATCATCGTGGGCACCATCATCGGCTCGGGTATCTTTGTCACGCCGACAGGCGTAGTGAGGGAGGCTGGCTCTGTGGGTCTGTCCCTCATAGTGTGGGCGGTGTGCGGGGTCTTCTCAACAGTGGGCGCCCTCTGCTACGCGGAGCTGGGGACCACCATCACCAAGTCCGGCGGCGACTATGCCTACATCTTGGAAGTGTACGGCTCCCTGCCGGCATTCCTCAAACTCTGGATCGAGCTGCTTATCATCCGGCCGTCCTCCCAGTATATCGTCGCCTACGTCTTCGCCACCTACCTCCTGAAGCCGCTGTTCCCCGTGTGCTTGGTGCCGGAGACGGGGGCCAAGCTAGTGGCCTGCCTCTGCATCAGTGAGTATCGGAGCTCAGGCACCGGGCGAGATGATGCAACTTTAGTGTGTGTGTGTGTGTGAGAGAGAGTCCCTATGCAGGCGGTTGTGGTTGCACTTCCTGTATATCTATACTATAAAAACACCTGTGCCTCGTGGGCACCTCGTGGGCACCTCCTGAGATAATAATGAACGACTATGCTCACACACAATATATAAAGCCTCATCCTATGGAGCGCGTGCGATACCATCAGCACTCGCACACGCGCGCGTATAGTAGTGGAAAAAATGCGGCGATATTACATCAGCTGCCGGGATGATGTAGGTTGCTCACAGGTTATAGGTCTTAAAAATAACCCAATTAATTGCTTTGAAATAATTCCTGGTGTTTATCATAAATAATATTTTCTGTGACGTGATAAGCAGCAAAGATTTCAAAATAAATGCCTTCATTTTAATTACTTAAAGCTTAGATATGATAACTTAATGTAAGTTGGTTTTATTAAATCAAATGCAAGCAAATATACACCAATAGATGATTTAACCCCAGTTTTAGTGGTGCGGTTTAAAAACAAGTAATTTATCATCAGTTTTCCGTGTTGCATGTCTAAGTTAATAAACAGCCACACATTTATGATGGATGTGCAGAGAGTTTTCTATGTGCACTGGGCTGTTTTACACCTTATTTTGTCTTAAAGCAATTATTTCAGGATTCTCACCTGTTTCATTACTTCATTCTTCTTTTCAAGACTTCATGGCAGCCTGAACATAAGTTTAGAGGTGTGTGTGTGTGTGTGTGTGTGTCTGTGATGTAGGTGACGGTGAGGTGGTCAGGGTCGCTGCACATTCATAGCTCCTAAAGTCTATTTTAGTGCCAGGTTTTGTTTAATTTGACTGCTGCTGGAATCTGTATAATTCAGATCAACGTGTCTCTGTTCCCTTCAGGTTTGTGAATATACGTGTACGCTACATGCCCAAGTATTAGCCATTAGTGTGTGTTTGTGGGTCTGGATGCCAAAGTATGTCTACCCCTGTACTGTACTTGGCCTCCTTCTCCTTTGTCCTGGTCTCTCAAATACAGAGCCTCATTGTGCCGTCTCGTCTTTCTATTGTGGCCCCGACCTGATTTAGGAGCTTTGAACAGGCCTGCTGCTTTAGTTAATCACTTCTAACAGGCTACTGCAGCAACTTTGCGTGTGTGTGTGTGTGCACTTATGGAGGATAGGGTAGGCACCAGCCGGTACATGGGCATTTAAAAGACAGATGGGTACAGGAGAAAAGACTTTATTCTCTTAAAATGTGTCACCCCTGTAACTTCTTCCTCTGCTCGCGTCATGTTGACAGCAGAACGTACAATCACACACACTCACTGTTAGGTCCCACAAGTGGAGCAGAAGAAACGCATTACAGGGTAAAGTTGTGCAATTTGACTGGTTACAAGATTGGTTTCCTATACGCATAACACACCTGTAAGCTTTATGTGTCAGTGGCCTCTTTTACTCTGTGGTCTTATTCTCTGCCTCCTTTTCTTTCGCAGTGTTGTTAACCTTTGTGAACTGCTACAGCGTGAAGGCGGCCACCAGAGTGCAGGACTTCTTCGCGGCAGCCAAGCTTCTAGCGCTCGCGCTCATCATCATCATCGGATTTGTCAAGATTGGACAAGGTACCTTGCACAAGCACACAGATACACAAATGCACATGTCACCTCTTTGCTCTTATGCCGGCTTTATTTGCCCAACCCCCACTTTATAAACTTTTCCCTCCATCCCTCCAGACACACCTTTAACAAGTTAAAATGTAAATGACCGACATGGCTGAAGACGGGCTGAGGTAGCCACAAATATGCAAATGACACGTGCTGACAGTTTTTCTATTTGGACTTGTGCCTCTCCATGATTTATAGTTCAAAGCACTCTTTTTCTAATATACTCAGGCTTGATGAACCCACTCAGTCTGTTTTTCCTCCCTCTCCTTTTCACTGGCTGTTCCTAAAAAGCAGGAGGTTTGAACATCAGGTGGGTGTGGCTTCCGTGCTCGCCGTCTGAGATGCCCACATTAAGGATTTCTGCTCTCTGTGACACCATACTGATCCCCATACTGATCCATTAGCTCTTATTAAACATTGTCCATGTTTAGTGACAGTGTATCAGAAAGTAATTAAAAAGCATAAAAAGGTTACTTTAAGAGCCTGACACACATTACAAAAGTTAAACAGTAAATAACCTCCATGGTAAAATATATGGATTTTATGAACTGTGGATTTTAATGTTCCGTTTATATTGTTATTAGATTCCCTTAAATGATTTAGGCAGTGTAGAAAGTCTTTACAGTTTGAGTTGAGTGATTGCATCAGCAGTCAAGGAAGTTGACGGACCAGTTTGTGTGCCACGCGACATAAAACAGGAAGTTTCAGCTGTGTTTACTCCAGCTGTGTATTCCATTGACACAGTAGCTCGCCTGCTGGCACAATCAACCCTTACATAAGCAGGTAATCTCAGTTTCAAGGGGGAAATCCTTAAATTAGATTACTCAACTTAATGGATCTGTGTCTCCTTCACTAAGAGATTTGAAGAAGTGTTGTCGTGCACCTTTTTCCTCAAAGTCAGTCTAAGATTAAAACCGGCAAACTGACTGTGACTGTGAGGTTAATTGTGTTAAAAAGAAAGTCGTGATGGCCCAGACGTATAAAGCTTTCATGTCTTTCATCGCTTGTGACTCCTAAATTGTGTCTGGATCGCCTCTCTTTCAGCTGCTGTGTTCCCATCCCGAGTAAATCCTCACACACGTGATTTGTAGATATTTGATTTCATGGAGTGACTTCTGAATTTTATTACAACCAACAGGATCTGGTGAAGCGTTGTGTAAAGATAGGACAGATAAACCATATTATGTAGGACACATTTGGGAGTGTGCTCATTGACTGTTGCAAGTCTGAGTCACAAATAACTTCTGTTTGAACAAGCACGAACATGTGCTCAGCTCACTATAAACCACTGAAAAGTGTGCTTTTAATCAGACAGGAAGTGTGCTTACGCGATCAAACTGCCCTCTAGAGGAAGGGTTTGGCACTCTCAGCCAAGACTGACTACCACGGTCTACATATCAAAGCTGACACAAGACCCCTCTGCTTCTTTTGAGGTTAAAGCTTCTACCAGGCGACTGGAGGCTTGTACCCAATCTGCTGCCCGTGTTGGCTCCTAACTGTGCTCTCATGGCTGGCTTTCTTCCTGCACGCAATGAAGCTGTTGTCCATTGTATTCCTCTGAGAGAGACGGAGGAAAATGGAAAACGGGGGTACATTAGATCATTAGCATTAGATCAGAGTAGCTCTCCTGGACAGAAATAGTAAGAAAGAAATGCAATAAAAGGGAATAGAGCAAGCACTGTGTATTGAATGAGGATGAGCTGGTACATCTGAGTATAAGGAGATTGACCACAGGGCTTATTTTGGCTCTAGACTCTGTACATGACCTGTGTATTTTCACTGTATGAAACACTGACGTCAGTGTAAACACACTAACACCTTATATTCCATCGATGTATTGAAATTCAGCAGATTTCGTGGCAGTACTGGTTTACTTAAAACTGCAGCTGCACTGCAAAGTTGATGCAGTTGCACAAGTGTCCACATTCAAAATAACAACAACAAAAAAAAGGAAATAAGCTAAAATATTATGAAGGAAATGCATCAAAACACAACACCGAAAGCAGACTGGGTTTAGTCTGGCTTTACTTCAGCCTGTTTCTTTAGTGATAAATGTGTATCTAAAATTACGTTAACAGCGCACTGCAGCACCAGCCAGTCTCTGCTGCTTTTTGTTTTCATATCAAATCCAAATCCACTGTTTATGTTCTGATCCCTTATTAGTTGCCGCTACTGCCAAATTGTTGGTGTAAAACTTCAGCTAACTGTTGCACGCAGAAGTAAGTGAGCAAGGGTATCCTGTTATGGGGTAAGATTACTTAATCAGAACCAAACTGGGATAAATTTAACATGTTCAGCTGGAGCTGTGAGGTGCACTGGAGCCACAGATGCAAACTGTGGAATCTGTAACATCAGCAGCTGCAGGGAGCAGCCTCTGACCTTTGTGCTCTACTCTCACAATACCGTTAATTACATTAATACTTTTGAAAGTAATTCTTCCCCCAGTAGTGTGAGAAAACTTCATCAAAGTGTTCTCAAGTAAATAACAAGCATGAGCTGTACCTGCTTTTACTCTGCGGCTTCATTCATCTTTCCTTCCTGATCCGTTCCCTGTAAGCTGAATGCTAAGTTCACCTATCTAGTGTCTGTTTTGGTTTGTAAATGAAACATGAGGACGGATTCTACCAATTTGTTATTCTAGTCCTTTTCTAAGTGTCATTTCTGGTTTGGTGTCTACTCTGAATCAATTTTAAGATCTTTAATCATCACTCTGCTTCTAATAACTGTTTACCTGGGACATCTCACATTACATAGACTTCTAGAAAGACTAGGCATGTGCCTGTGATTATATCAACAAAGGAAAGCATAATTCCTCTTTCTGTTGTAGCTCTCCCTGGCTCGTGACTGGTTGAGTGCGCCTCGAAAGCACCTCATGCACTAATGGGTTCACTTTAGATTCAACAATTCCAAATATTTCTAGCTCTCTGAAGCATTTAGTGAGTGCATGGGAATTGTTAAAGCACGGCTCTGAAGCTTTACACATAGGGCCCTGTTCATGAGGCCTGGAGTGTCAGATTAGAAGGCAGTGTAATCTGATTAGCTCCAATAAAGCCTCCGCCTTCTTAGTTTGACTGCCGCCCACACTGTTTGTAAGAGAAGCAAACGGAGAGAAGGTTGACCATCTATCTGTAAGAACAAGTTCTCCCTCCCATCGTCTTTATTTACTTGATTGTAACAGGAATTATTCAACACAGCCGCTCACACCCAAAGTTACACTCACAAACCAGTGTTCTCTAACCTCGTGTGAAAATCCACTGCTGGGTCACACTTCAGCACGGCTCTCCCTGCCCCAAGGTGTCCAAAAAGTAAAGGCGTGTTTGCTAGAAAGCCTGTTTACCATACCTGATTCACAGGTGGTTACCTCCCACCTATGTACAAATACTTCATCTCATTTCAAACAGTATAACTAATCCATGTGCTACCGCTAACTGTGAGTCTGAACCACATCAAGAAACATATTTTCTGATGTAAAACCAGCCTATTCACTGTATTGATGTGAAGAAACAAGAATAGTTGAGATACTTTACTTAGTTGACAAGTAGAAAGGCCCTGTATTTGGAATCAGACTCGGGGTTACAGCTGACGACATCTGTGCCAATTTGATCTGCTCACCAACAACATGCATTGGTACTGGGCCTCACTGAAATGTAGAGAACTCTTTGCGTGAGGAAGTGACGTAAATGATTATAAGGTAAGCAGGTTAATATTTCTTACAATAAATAAGTGGATTAAAACCATTGTCATAGCTGCGTGCTAAAGACCTTGACCGATTTTTGCCATTTCATGATCTGTCAATATTTGTGGTTGTAAAGAGCGTGACTGAGAGAACTAATATGCACTTGAAATAAAGTGTG